TCACTGCCTTCAAGTTGATTTCAAAAAGTTAATTTCGCACTTTATCATCGAGAAACTTTTCTTTTTTTTTTTGTATTTCCTTTTCGCAGCGGAAGAGGAAAAGGAAGCTGTTCCTGTCCTGGCTTCTGGCTCTGGCTCTGGGTGTGAATAAAGTAAAAACAAATGAAAAGGCTTGGCGCTTCTCGCCGTCTTTCTTTGGCAACAATTGCATTGCGGTAAACAATATTTCTGTTATCTTTCTCTGGCAAAAAGGGGGGACGCTGTCGGTATACTTTTACAGCTTCATTTCCGTGCCCATTTTTATTGTTTTGGCTGAAAGAGGCAGCCAAGTGTTCAATGCACAACTTTTAGCGCAATTGTTAAAAGAATTAAAAACAGAGAGAGAGAGAGGGAGGGACTGAAACAAAAGCCAGATATGGCTGCACGGAAACGGAAAAGAGCTGCCATAGACTCCGGTTAGAGTGAACGTGCTATATGTGCCGTGACGTGGCAAATGTAATGGAAAATGGTCACAGATATCCCACCTCATCCCAGCTCCTGGCCAACTATCCTCCGCATGCGTTTATTTTTATGCAGCGTGAAGCCTTGGCTCCAACAGCTATTTATACGTTTATATTCTCCACCAACAGAGAGCGAGTCCTGGCTATGATTTCTGTGCCAAGTGCGTAGTTACTGGGGGGAAAAGGACATTGGTTCCTAGGCGGGGACACGGGGGCTATTCCCGGGACTAACAAGCGACGTTTATTGCCATAAAAGTTTACGACAAAAACTCATTTCCGTCACCAAAAAGCAAGGCAATAAATGTGAGAGGCAGAAAGGCACCGAAAAAAATAATATTTATCTATAAAGAAAGTCTAAAAAATGGTTAAAATCTTGTTTAAATATTTTAATAGATACCTAATTCTTAGCCTCATTAATATTTATGGATAAAATATAAGATTTTTTCATGGAACTAACATTTCAAGATGCTAAAAAATATCAATATATCATAGTTTTAGTAATACTTGAGAAGAAGGTGAATTTATTAATATATTATAGATTATCTAAGCTCATAAGCAGGAAGGCACCGAAAAAAATAATATTTTTTCTATAAAGAAAGTCAAAAATGTATTGTTAGCTCTTAAAAATGTTTCGAATCTTGTTAATTTATTAAAATTTAGACTTGATTCTTAACCTCATTAATATTTATATACAAAAATAATATTCTCCTATAAAGGAAGTCAAAATGTATTGTTAGCACTTAAAAATGATTACAGTCTTGTTTATCTATTACAATTTAAACTTAATTCTGAGCTTATTTGTTTTTATATATAATATATAAGGTTGTTTCAAGGAACTAACCTTTCAAAATGCTAGAAAATATCAATATATCATTGTCTCACTAACTCTTGAGACACAGATGGATTTATATATATATTATAGATTATCTAAGCCTATAAGTATACCGAATTTTTCCCTGTCGATCCAGGCTACTAGATCTTTAAGTAGACTCTCGGCTCTCAGCTACACATGTCGCCAAAGTCAAAGTCGCTTCCGGAACGGAAGTGGAGCACTCAGTGGCAGCGGAAGAGACACAACTTGAGCCATTTGTCAGCTGGATGACACTTGGCTCCAAGCCGAATCGGGTCGAGCCCAGGCCCCCCGGGGTCCATGCAAATGGGATCGACTCAGGCTCTCATATAAAAATGCTAAAATAATAATAATAATTCGGTTGACATAGTCTCCTCTCCCCCCTCCTCCGGTGCCGAGAAGCAATTTAATTATGCAGATAGTCTTGCCGGGAATTACCTGGCCGGCAGCTGGAGCTGGGAACAGGAAGCCGGAGCCATTGCTCATTAGTGTCAATCTATTTAGCATAAATTTCAATTAAAGCAATATCCTGCAGCCCAGGGACACGACGACGATGAAGCCGACTTAGGACACTTTCTTAGAAAAATTCCAAGCCGAGGGGAAAGGAAAGGAGAAGCAAAAAAAAAACAAGCGACAGGCGAAGGATGCAAAATTATGGCGTCCGCTGTTGTCATCGCTCCTCCTGCGTCTCATATTTCACGCGAAACTCATTAAAATGCAAAATGAGAGGAAAATATACTTATGTATATTGGGAAACTCGTCGAGGAAAGGTTAAAGCTGCTTGAAGCCGGAAAACCCGCCACCGAGTGGAAATCATTGACCAGGGAAGCCACAAACGGGAGTATATCTACTCTGGTTACAACTCCCAGATCCCAAATCCCGGCTAAGAAATGTACTCTCCACACTCGACAGTCGACATTTTAGATGGGGTTTTTTTCATAGCCGTTTTGTGAGGAGAAAATAGTAGAAAACTAGCTGGTACCAAGAAACGACATAGGGAATACTCTAGGGTTTCATTTTTGGGAGGAATTTTATACAGAATAATAATTGAAATAAGTAAAAGAGTCCTGAGAAAATATTATATTAAAAGGAAATAAGTGCTGATAAAAAAACAAGAGAGTTTTCTGGTGGATAAACCTTACTTTCAGGTTCTCAAATATTAAATATATGTTACATTTCAATATAATAACTTATCCTATTGCAAAACTCTCTATAATATGTATATTTTCAACATTTCTACAATGTCAAATTTATAAATATCATTTTTATTTTAAATATAGAACTTTTCATCTAATATAGAATCATTTTTAGAGTTAACCTTTTTTTTTGGACAAATCATATTGTCCTGCGGAATGGAACATAGGGAATACTCTAGGGTTTAATTTTGAGAGGAATTTTATAAAGAATAATACATAAAATAATTAATAGAACCCTGAGAAAATAGGTTTATAAATACTATATAGTATTAGAAGAAAATAAGTGGTAAAAAAAGGATGGAAGTTTTTTCATGGATAAAGCTCACTTTCAGCTTCTTAAATACCAAATATGCTTTTCATTTCAATATAATAACTTATCCTATTACAAAATTCTCCAAAATATCGAAATTTTTACAGTATCAAATTTATAAATACCAGTTTTATTTTGAATACATCTAATATAGTCACAGTTTTTGTAAGTTAATCAGGACATACCTGCCACCGAGTTAACCTTTTTTTTTTGGACAAATCGTAGTGCCCTCCGGAATGGAACAGTAATCGTCATAAGCCTCAGACTCCAGACTCTGGCCGTTATGAGCATGTTGCAATATTTCCGCACAGCTTACGTGCCACAAACACACACACCCCACACTAAACACACACACACCCTGGCACACACAGGACACGCACTAAAGGATGTCGGAGAAGGGGAACGGAGGGGGAAGCGCGCTTAGGAACTGTCAGTTTTGTAAATATGTGTGTGTGTGCCGAGGTTCGCCAGGATTCCAGCGAAGAAGGAAGAAGTAGTTCCCCGCAAGCGGAAGGAAACAGTTAATACTTCTGTCTGTTATGCGCTTACTTCCTGTCTCCATTAAAAGTCATTCTTTTGGATAATCCTTTTGGCAACATTATGGCAAGTATTAAAAACTTTTTTGCACTAGCCAGAGAGAGAGTGAGTTTCTCCCTTATCCAGGGGTATTATTACCTAGCGAAAAGTTTCTGCAGATTCTTCTGCTGTTGTGGCCAGGATTTGGATTTGTTGTGCTGTGTTCTGAGCTCTATGTTTTTTCTCCTGTTTTCTGTTTCCTTGTGGAGTGGGATTTCAGTGGTCCTGGTCCTTGTCTGGGTCTCTGCTGCAGGGCATTCCATTCATACGTGGAGGCTAGCCTCCGCTCGTTGGCCATAAATATTTTCGTGTAATAGAAAATGTTTTGCAAGTGTGCCGGAGTCCATTTTTTCTCCTTCTCTGCCCGGGCTTGATTACCGCGCAGTAGCCAGCGAAAATTCCACAAAAGTTTTAATCGAAAAAAATGAAGAAATGAAAACAAGAAGAAAAGAACATAAAGCAGCGCGGAAAATTCCCCAGCTAATGGTATTCAATTCGAAATAGTTGAAAGGCATTTATCATCATCAGCGGCATATTGAATATTTGGATTTAGCCCAGTTACGCCCCATTCTAGCCGCTGTGCCTTTTGCAAATGAATATTAACGGTTTATGTGGGTGGGAATTATTCAAATTTTCCTAAAAAGGTGGCTAAAGGTGTGGAAGGTGCGGCTAAAACACAAAACGTGTTCGGCATCATCAAAATCCTTTGAGCAAACACTGCGGCAAAAGGCTAAAATGACACCAGCGGCCATATTGTTGCTACCATGTTTGGGTTTCGTTGTGCGTTGTGGTGGCCTAGTCCCTGTCCCAGTTCCAGTTCTACCTCCTCCTCTGGCCATTAGGAGCATGCTCGACTGAATGCTGCTACCTTTATGCAAATCCCCCCCGAAAAAAAAAGAAAAACCGAATGGTTCTGTCCCCTTCGGTTGCCTTGAAAAATTGACACCTCATCGCTTTTCAATGGAGCTCTGAAAACCCAAAACCTGGCGGCGTTTTCACCGACTGATTGAACCGTGTCCGACTTTAATGGGGTTACTTTTATCCCCCAGGGAGCTAATCGTTGGTTTGCTTTTGGAAAAGGTTGTCCTTTTGGTTAAAAAGAAGAGCTTTTTGGGAGGAAATGAGAGGTATGAGAAGGTGTTGGGTTTACTAGGACATTTTGTAAAGATTTTTTAATAAGAGTTTTTGATAGGAAATGGAGAATAATCTATGGTCATTTGTTAATATTAAAAACCCTTTAAAAATGCAATAAAACCCATTTTTTTTTTGGCTTAACTTTAATTTATAAATTATAGATTTAAAACAACTTTTCCTAAAACTATATATTTATTCCCATTTTCTGACCAGCTGACTGAGCTTTTCCCAACAGCTGTTTATGTTTCTTCTTTCTCCATTTTCTATATTCTCCCTTCCATATACTATCTTCCTCGATCTCCAATGTCCAAAAGAGCTTTTCCCAGTTGCCGTGGACTCGCCATCACCATCGCATTTCCCGCATGAAAAGCGAAATATTTTCGAAAATAGCTCTCAACGCCGCTGGCCACAAATTCTTAGCTGAAAATTCCAGGGGAAAAGGCAGGCATGTGGCATCGCATATTTGTGCTGAGCTGCATGTGGAGTGCGTTTTTCATTTCCCGCAGCCAAGGGCAACAAATCAACATTGGTAAGAGACAGTTTTGGGCTTTCCAAGATTCTTTCTAACGAATCCCTGCAGGTGCCTTCTTCTATGACGATGAACTGGAACTGGAAAAGGAGTTCCTTGAGGTAATCAATGCCATCAACGGTCCTGAACCGGAGCAAACCCTGCGCTTCTTTCCTTTGATAAAACGTTTAAAACCCGAGGATGGCAGTGTCACCATGCAGGAGCAGGGTAAGTTTATAAATTTCCATTTAATCCAACAAATATTGAATGAAAATTCTCTATGAATTTTCAGCCTGCGATCTTGTGGATAATGGTGTCGCGGCTATTTTCGGACCAAGTTCAAAGGCGGCGAGCGGTAAGTGTGAAGGGAACATCATTTTTGTATAGAAAATGCAAGCAAAATAGAACGAAAAAAAAGCTTTTCCAACGTATAAGAAGCAGAGGAAAATGTGAGAAAACTTTTTTCGAAAATTCTCTGTTTGTCAACAGAGCGGATGAGTGATCTTTCAATTTTTCTCTCTATTTTTTCTCAGACATTATAGCTTTGGTTTGCAATAATACCGGCATTCCCCACATTGAATTCGATGTGGCGGACGAGGAGCATTTGGAGGAGAGACCCAACCATCAGATGACTTTGAATCTTTACCCTTCTCAGGTGATACTCTCCAAGGCCTATGCGGATATTGTTCAGAACTTTGGCTGGCGCAAGTTTACCATAGTCTATGATGCGGATGATGGTAAGTCTGAAAAATTAAGTGTTAAAAACTACCCAAAATCCTTTTTAACTTCTAGTCAAGGCTGCCGCTCGTTTACAGGACCTTTTGCAGTTGAGGGAAGTCCACAACGAAGTGGTTAGGGTAAGAAAGTTCCACAAGGACGATGACTATCGGGTCATGTGGAAAAGCATTAGGGGTGAAAGAAGAGTGGTTCTGGACTGTGCTCCTGGAATGCTGGTGGAGCTATTGAATGCCTCTTCGGAATTTGGTCTAACTGGACAGTTTAATGTAAGTTTTCTTTCAGATATACATTCCTAAAGGCAATTATTACCCTAATTTCAACTCTTTTCATACCAAAGCACATTTTCCTGACCAATCTGGATACCTATACCGATCACCTGGAGGAACTCTCTGCCGACAATGAGACCTTTGCTGTGAATATAACTGCAGCTCGACTTCTGCTCAATCCTGATCCGCCACCAGTAAGTAAATTAAAGTAAACTTTAGTTAATATATATAAAATAATAACTTTTGATTAGTACTCCCAGCCCTATGGCTATGTCATTCAAAAGGATGACATAGTTTACGAGAGCAACGAGTCGCCTCGCACTCTCCTCCATGACCTAATCCATGATGCCCTGCATCTCTTTGAGCAATCCTGGCGAAATGCCAGCTTCTTTTACCCCGACCGGATGGTGGTGCCTCGGATTACCTGTGACTTTGCCTCCTCCGGAGGTCGCACCTGGGCCATGGGTCGCTATCTCACACGCCTCATGAAAGGGGTAAGTCTGGGGATGAGTTAAGTCCAAGTTAATTGAGGTGAGATGTTGCCATTGCAGACATCCGGTGTGAATAGCACCAACTTCCGGACAACTAGCCTGCAGTTCGATGAAGATGGTCAACGGATAACGTTCAATATAGAGGTCTACGATCCCCTAGATGGCATTGGCATTGCGGTGTGGGATCCCAGGGGTCAGATAACGCAACTGAATGTGGATGCCAAGGTGCAAAAGAAGATCGTTTACAGAGTGGCCACGAGGATAGGACCACCGTATTTCTCCTACAATGACACTGCCGTGGAGCTAAATATGACTGGAAATGCACAATATCAGGGTTATGCCGTGGATCTTATCGATGCCATTGCCCAGGAGATGGGTTTCGAGTATTTATTTATTCCTGTGGCGGATCAACAGTATGGAAAGCTGGACAAGGACACCAAGCAATGGAATGGCATTATTGGCGAGATTATTAATAATGTGAGGAAACTATATTATAGTTCTTACATATAATAGATACTAATATGTAATTCCCCAAGGATGCCCACATGGGCATTTGTGATCTGACCATCACCCAAGCACGGAAAACCGCCGTGGATTTTACGGTTCCCTTCATGCAATTGGGCGTCAGCATTTTGGCCTACAAAAGTCCGCATGTGGAGAAGCCTCTGGATGCGTATTTGGCGCCCTTTGGTGGTGAGGTTTGGATGTGGATCCTGATTTCGGTGTTTGTGGTCACCTTTCTCAAGACAATTGTCGCAAGAATTGCCAAGATGGAGTGGGAGAACCCGCATCCTTGCAATCGTGATCCTGAAGTGCTGGAGAACTCTTGGGATATTCACAACACGGGTTGGCTAACGGTGGCCTCCATTATGACAGCTGGTTGCGATATTTTGCCAAGGAGTCCGCAGGTGAGACACTTACTCATTTCACTTCATTATAAAATATTATTAATTAAACTCTAATCATAATAAGGTTCGCATGTTCGAGGCCACCTGGTGGATTTTTGCCATCATTATAGCCAACTCTTACACTGCCAATTTGGCTGCCTTCTTGACCAGTTCCAAAATGGAGGGAAGCATTGCCAATCTTAAGGATTTGAGTGGTCAGAAGAAGGTTAAATTTGGCACAATTTACGGTGGAAGTACGTACAATCTCTTGGCAGATTCCAATGAGACTGTTTATCGCCTGGCTTTCAATCTGATGAACAATGACGATCCTTCGGCCTACACCAAGGATAATCTGGAGGGAGTGGAGCGTGTGCAGAAGAATCGCGGTGACTACATGTTCCTTATGGAGACAACCACCTTGGAGTATCATCGTGAGCTGCATTGTGATCTTCGTTCTGTTGGTGAAAAGTTTGGGGAAAAGCATTATGCCATTGCGGTGCCTTTTGGAGCGGAATATAGATCCAACTTGAGTGTGGCCATCCTGAGGTTAAGCGAGCGGGGACACCTTTACGATTTGAAGCAAAAATGGTGGAAGAATCCAAATGCCAGTTGCTTTGAGGAACCAGATCCGGATGCCACACCGGACATGACCTTTGAGGAGTTGCGTGGCATTTTCTATACACTCTATGTGGGTATCCTGATTGCTTTTCTTATTGGTATTACCGAGTTTCTGGTCTATGTGCAGCAGGTGGCCTTGGAGGAGAGGGTGAGAGAGGGTTCTTTACCTTCTTGTTACAATCTTTTACATATAAGTTATATTTCTTTCAGCTCACTTTAAAGGCAGCTTTTAATAAGGAGATTAGGTTTGTTCTGTGTGTTTGGAACAACAAGAAACCCATTGTGGCTGGCACACCTGTTTCTAGCCTGCGAACAACTCCCAGGAGATCCATTGACAAGTCCTTGGAACGAACTCCCAAATCAAATCGACGCATTGTCATAGGTCGCTCTTCAGAGGAGATGCGGGAAATGGCTCAGGGATCGGGTTCAGGTTCGGGTTCAGGTTCAGTTTCTTCATCACCCGTCAATCCCAATCCCAAAATAAAGCAAGAGGAGGCTCGTGTCTAAGGTCATGAATTTCCTCCTTTAATAAGTTTTGTAACCAGAAATAAAGTGTATTTAAAATTGATAAAAACTTGAGTTAACCAACTAAATTCTAGATTGATTTTTCTAGCTTCCATCTCCCAATCATCCTTAAAGTTCCTCCCATTTTGTAATCAATTTGTAGCTTTCTTAAGCTTGAAATTACTCTAGCCTCTTCAGACTGGAGTCCTGTTCCCGTCTTGATCCCGCAGGGCAATTCGAGATGTCGACGCTGGAAGTTAGTGCACGCCTCGTTGGCCACTGCATCCATCCTGAATCCTTTTCCATCAGCAGCCACAGCCGCACATCCTTGAGCATCGTTTCCCGTTTATTGTTGGCGAGGCTGGCTGTCTCAGCTTGTCAATTGCGTTATTGGAGCTTATTGACATTTTATATCCAGCGAGCGACTGACGTTCCCCATCGCGAAAATTATTTAAGCAGCTGCAGGCGAAAGCGGGAATCGTAGCAAAAAGGACCAAAGTACCAAGAAGGTCCTGCCGGGTGATTGCCGTGTTTCGTGTTGGGTCGCCTTTGGCCTTTGTTGGTTTGTGTAAAATGAGCAGCAATGACAACGACAGCGACAGTTTCACCAGAAGCGGCAGTAAAAAAACAACACATCAACCAGAGAATGATGACAACTGGCAATATAGTAGAGGGGAAGGCAGTACACTGAACAAAATTATAAGTGTATTCAAGTTTTGAAAGCAGAATTTAATAAATTATTATACCCTTATAGGTCAGAAGTGAAGGAGGCAGTGAAGGAGGCACCTCCGACCATATAAAGTATATATATTCTTGATCAGCATCAACAGTCGAGTCAATCTAGCCATGTCCGTCTATCTATCTGTCCGTCTGTCCGTTTCTACGCAAACTAGTCTCTCAGTTTTTAAGCTATCTGAATAAAACTTTGTAGTTAGTCTTCTATATACTCTTACTCGTATATATATATGTCGGAAAGGGCCAGATCGGACGACTATATCATTTAGTTGCCATAGGAATGATCGGAAAATTTTTACAAAAAAAATTATAACATTTTCAGTTTTTAACAGAATTTGATCACATTTGAGATGTAGCCATTTTATATTACTCTACAATTTTGTGTCAAATTGTATGAAAATTGCTCCCATAGGAACGATCGAGAAATTAATACAAATCAAAATTATAACGTTTTCAGTTTTCAACAAAATTTAATCAAATTTGAGATATATCCATTATAAATTATTCTACAGATTTGTTTTAAATTTTATGAAAATCGGACTACTATATCATATAGCTCCCATAGAAACTATCGTTATATAAAGAGGAAAAATGCAAATCTGTTAATGTAAAACTGTAAATATGTATATGTGAATGAAATGAAAGCAAGTATTACTTCATTGTTTTTTTTTACATAAATATATAATAAATATTTATTGTATTGAATCCTAGTCATCAAACTTCTATCTACAAGGGTATCATTTCTTGTTAAGCAAATGTATCAAACATTTTTTTCACACCAAGACTTTATAATGCTTTATAAATCTGTAAACAAAATCAACATAAACTCTTTGCCTTCCAGCCCCACTTTTCATATATTTTCTATAAATATTTCCCTGCCTGAATCTAATAATTTCCTTCCATTTTCCCCTCCCCATTCTCTCAGTGCACTTGTATCTAGAGGGTCGCATCCTGACAGATCGCATTGCATTCCATTCCATTCCGTGGCGAGTGTCATTTGCTAGCTGTTTGTTTGTCTCCTTCTCCGCAGAGCTCTGTGTGTTCAATTTTTAATTATTTTGTAGTGAAGTGGCCTCAGCTTCGACTGTCGGCTACGTGAGCCTTTCGAGGATGGGGAGACCTCCTCCTAGTAGCGTCAGAGGGATGGAGTAAGAGTGGTTGTGACCAGCAGGAAAAGTCTCCAAAAGAACCGCTGAATGTCTCCTGGTTACTTGTGGGAAATCCAACACACCTGTTGCCCTGGCCAGCATGCGCAGTAGCTGCCTTTGGGCCTGAATCCACCACCGATGGCCAATGGCTGAGACATGGGCCACAAAGCGACAAGTTCCACAGGACATGAAAGCCTCAATTTCGGCAGGGGCGGGAACGTGGCAGGACGAGTCTTATACGGGCGGGATTGTCATTTGCTAATGCCACGCACGTAAGCAATTTCCGCACGAAAGCGCATTCCTTGAGCCTTTAATGTACTTTTTGATGTTAACAAATTTTTCGAACATTTGTTGTTGACTGAAACAGGCAGACAGAGGAGGAAAAGGGTAGGAAGACACGTTCATGAACTGAATCTTAAGTTGGTTTTCTGCGGTTTGGCTAGGTTTTCCGGCTGGGTATTGGGTGTGAGTGATTAGAGTCGCATAAACAAATTAATAAGTGACAGAATCCCGACTCTCGATTCCCACAATTCCAATTCCTTGCAATCAACACCTCTCCCTGGTACCCCGATTCTAAATTGAGCAATTTTCCACTTGGGAAAATTTATGAGCTGGCCTTTTGGTGTAAATTTTGTGTGTCTGGAAAATCGCTAGACCTCGCTCGCTCACTGACAGGCAATTCGACGAGCAAAGGACATGCAGACAGGCAGACACACATGGACTTGTCTGCGGATATGGACTGCGGATGGACTTCCTGGGCTTCCACTGCACTGCACTTCCCCTCTTAGCGGCCGCAATTTTCTTGAGCAAATTGAAATTCTTGTGGCCGCTTCCGAGTACGAAGCACGGACCTCTATTAGCCCGAATAAATCTTTCTAGCATGGAGCTAACTTGTATGGGAAATTGCTGGCAACATTTTTAATTAACAGCTGGTGGGGCAAGGCAGAGACGTTGAGATATATTGTTGCAATTCCGGGTTACACCAGGACTTGGCAGGTGACTTGGCTATAATTTTTAAGGCCATATACAACGATATGTGTGAGTGTATAGTCGGTAAAAATTAGTGATTTAGAAACTAATTATCCTTTTCCCTTAAAGTTAATAAAGTACGCTTCATAAAGGACTTTTTCATGACGAATTGGTACATGTCTGGGCCTGTCTGAGCCTGTCAATTGTCCTGTCCTCACTTCAATGTATCGCTGTTTTCGCTGAAAACCGCAGAAAGCGATTAACGGAGACCACAGGAAGGTAACTGCACCCCAGGTAACTCCAATTCCAATTCTCCTTAAACTCTACATGTGTGTGTGTGTGGTCAGTTGGGTGCGTGCGTGTGTGTGTGTACTGTTGTCCTGCAGCCTTGTTTTGTTTGTTAATTTGCTAGCTGCAAGCTTGGCATCTTGGCATCCGGGGAAAGGAGCTGCTACTGTTCTTGCCCAGCTTTTCGCATCCTTGTTTGCCTTGCGCCAAGTGGCCAGCACAGTGTGTCCTGTGTCCTTAGAGTGTCCTGTGTATGTGTCTGTGTGTGTGTTCCTATGCGTGTTTGGTGAACAAATAAAACACAGTTATGCAAATGATGTTGGCACACCAAGAGCAAAACATTAACCTCCACCTTAACTGCTCATAAATTCCAGCATTTTGCCGCAGAATTCAATTTTCCACACAATTGAAGGTACGATTTTCGTGCACGATCGCTGATTGTAAACACTTTTCACAAGTTTCGCATTTATTCACATTTAAAAGGGAAAGCAAATAATGTGAAAAATTAAGAAAGCTAACTTTGCTGGACCTTGATAAGTATATAAATTCTCCTGCTTGTAATACAAGTCTACCTGCTTTAAAAAACACTTGCCCAAATCCTTGCAATTTTCTTTTCAGAACAGAATAGAAAAACAAATAAATGCAGAACAAAAGCCAAGGCTAAGAGAGGGGAGTGAAAAAGAAGAGCTGAGAGCAAAGAACAAACAGCAGCGAAACCGCAAGAAGCGGAAGCGGAAACGCGTCACACAATGTCGATGCTCCTCGAACTCGCACTTCCACATCCTTTGCTAGCTTTGCTCCTGCTTTCGCTCCTCGCACGCTATTAGATATTTATTTCTGCGGATGTTTGCCCGTGTGTCCTTCTTCCTTTTCTTCTCCTCTCGCACACACACACACACATATTTGCACATGTTTCGCATTTGTATTCCATGCGTTATTGAGCTGAAAATTGATGCACATTACTTACTCTATTGAATTACACATTAGCCAGGACATTCGATGGAGACAGAGAAGTGGAAGGAGTGCTGCACCGAGCAAAAAGGATAAGCATTCTATAATTGCATTGATTTTATTAGATTTTTTATGTTTAATTATGGGGAGTATTGAGTATTCTGAGGGGGGATTTAGTGATGATTTTTTTGTAGAAATTATTGAAAGAAATACTAAAATGGTATAAAAATCTTGAAGGACCTTTTTAGGTATTCTTCTTGGTGAAAGCATAAATATTTCTCTTAGATTTTTCATCTTTCTTTATAAAAAATGTTGTCCATTTTTCTGGGAATATTTGAAGAGCTTTTTTTATTAACATATTCACTTGGAAAATAAGAATTTTATAGGGAATTTCACTACATTTTTATAAGTATTTTATTGATATTCGATAATTCTGTTTTATTTTACTATAAATTAAAGCCAGTTTAAGCCCCTTTTTTCGTTCTCTGTTCTTCTGGGAATATTTCAGGAGTACTTTTATTAACAAATTCACTTGGGAAATAAGAATTCATATGGATTTTCACCACATTTTGAAATATTTTATAGATATTAGATAGTTTTCTTTAATTTTATTGCAATTTTAACCCAGTTTTAACTCTTTTTTTCTTTCTCTGTTCTCACAGAGACTCGTTCGATGCCTTGCACTCCTCGTTTGGCCAATAAATAATTTGAAAATAACAAAATAACAGAGTGAAAAACAAAGGACATGCCGCCAAACGTCACCCCGGGGTGCTCCTGCTCCTCCTCCTCCTCTTGATCCTCCTCTTTCCTGCTGCATCCCTGCTGTCCCCATTGATGCATCGATAGCAACCCCCCCCTTTCCACCTAACCCCCTCCCACCATCCCCCACTCGCAGCATGCATGTGAATTATG